TGGCAGGTCACCACCAGCGCCGTAGGAGTCAAGGGCACGCAACGGGGCAACTATTGTTCTTTAAGCAGAAAAGGACCTCATCACGCAGCAGGAGGAGAGCATAAACAGTCACGTCAGGCTCACTGAGATCACATTAGAATGATTGGAAAGGAAGACGCTGCCTTCAAGGCTCTGGGCTGTGACTCTGTCAGATGTGAGGTGTTAACATAGCTGTGAGGTGCTCTTTGAAACGAGTGTACATTTCATGGAAATCAGCGACTACACTGAAACTGTTCGTATGTGAGCCAGGCTTTGTGGTGAAATGCACAACAGCATGTGCTTAATCATTTTATGAAAGGGCAGATTTTGTGTTTATGGAAACTGCGTGTGTGCAGTTTTAACCGCAGCAATTAACAACATACTGCTTATGCGAGTTAAAGCAAGCTAACCTTTAACTGCGGCTTATTTTTGGTGATCCAATCACACCTGCGGTAAAAATATACTTTTTCCATGATTTTTTTTCTCTTCTCCTTCCCTGGTACAAGCACACTGGATCTGGAGCATTGTTACAATCCGAACATGTTGCTTTGTTGATTTGTTAATCAACAAAAGGAGGACAAAAACATTATGCTGCTCATGCGGGCTGATTTTTTTTGTAGAAACACAGGGATCAGGAAAAAAGACTCCTCCCCTCACCTCCTCCGCTGTCCTTCTCTTCTTCCTCGATGCTGTTTTTGATGCTGTCGTACTCCTCGTCTATGTTCTGGTTGCCTCGGATCTGACTGAGCACGCGGCGGGCCTTCTGGGTCAGCCCACGCTGAATTAACCAGCGAGGGCTCTCTGGCAGGAAGAGGAATCCCATGAACTGGAGCACAGCGGGGAGCACAGACAGACCCAACATGTACCTGCGAGAGGAGAGAAGGAACACATGGAGTGAGACTAATTATGATCACAGAAATGCTGTTTTTAGTTTTGTTTGTTTGTTAGCTTTTGACTAATGAAGGGTTTGAAAGGTTGAAAAGGTTTGATGTGCAAAATTCAACTGCATATGCAAGAACAATCAGGTTTCAGCAACGCTCCCCTGCATTCACTTTATGCTGACAAGTTCAGCTAGCAACACGTGGTTTACTTCATTAAAATTAAACACTGGGGAAAATGTCAAGGCTTTTTTCAGATTCCTCTGCTTAAAATAACCTTAACATGTAGATTAAGCATTTAGATTAATCGCTGCACATTAGAGATAAAGTTCCACTTGCTAGAAGCCTTGCTTGAGAAAGAAAATCAAAACAATAAAGCGTCACTGTCTAATATCACTGCATAATTAGTTTACCCTAGCAACGGCACACTATGCTGCACTGAAGTGTAAAAAACTGCAGGATTGCTCTGCAAGCATAACATGTTATGTGCCAGTAAGGCAAAGAATAGGAGGATATAAGAAAAGTAAAAGGGTAAAAGGAGGCTGTAATAATGACAAATTGCTAGAGACTGCAGTAAACAGCCAGAAGTACAAGGTTTTTCTTCTTCTGCGAAGGCAACGACATCAATCTGAGAACATCTGTAATCTTAACTCAATCGGTTTTCCATTATCATTATGAATCACACAAATCTAAGGCTCGCCGAACAATCTCCTTCGTGTCTATCAGAACTGCAGCCGAGGCAAATCCTTTCAAAACGGCCAATTCTTATCAACAGTATCTCGCAGCTCGCCGCTCAAAGACTCCGAAGACCGCGAAGCTGCACACGAGGAAAGGACGCGAACAGAAGAAAGAGAAAACAAGAGTATCGCTCCAATAAACAGCACAGCTGCTCCCAGTAAATGCTAAAGACTGACCCGTGCTTGTGTTGACATTTTGAATGAGGGTTTGAGCCGGAATGAAAAGATTTTCTGGCATTTCATACGCTAAGAAGCCAAAAAAGAGACGATGCTATCACATCTGATTATATGACTATCATTAACGAAGGCGGCGCTGTTTACATCCTGCGAGAAGTGTAAAAGTTCTGCTTCTGTATTCTTTTTTCTGTTGAGATACAAATTGCGGTGTGGAAGGTGCTATAACACATTTTGCGTGCAGTGAAAGGTGGAGCTTGGATGTAGCTTTGGGGTTTGAAGAGTGAATTCCTTAACCCTGTATTTTTTTTAAATGGCCACTAGAATGGTTGGAAAAGTAGGGGAAAACTGGGAAAACTGACCTTGGACTGA